TCATGGAGCGAGACAGCGCCTAGAGTGCAGGGCGCTGTGAATCTGCAGACACGGACACGTTTTCACTGTGAAAGTTGAGACGATGTTTGAACATTAACATCTCAAAGACTTTTGTCCAGTTCAAATCTGAAAAGGTTCAGTTCACTAATAAAAACTTCACACTGTGAAAGAAATTAAACAATCGAACATTAAAATTCAAATCGGATCATCTGCTGATTGTTTGATTTTGTGGCACAGTTTGTCAGATTTTGCTCTTCTACCATGAAATTTGAATAAAAATGTAGTTTTCTTAATTTATGTGACTCAGAATGTAAAAAACCACCATCTGTCACTCGTGTGTGTTTGAATACGGACTCTGGAGAGCAGCTGGAGTTGTTGTCAAAAGTCCCTGAATTTGAGCTTTTTTAGCTTTTGAGATTTTTACGTTCAAGCACTCCGTCAGATTTCAAGGTGTGGAAAAAATGGTGTGAAAGTGGGCTGACGGCCATTTTTCAAGAAGACATTGAAACGTATTTGATATATTGTTCATTAAGCTAACATTTCACAACACTCATCATATAAATTCAAACTCTGCACCATAAACTTTTAATGGAAATCAGAGTCGGTGGAGCAGACAGTGTTCGCTGACTGTAGATGGACTGGTGGTAGAAGAAGGACAGCGAGAAACCAGTTCATTTAATGGCAAATTACTGTAGCATATCCATCCATACTGGATATATGGATGGATATGCTACGCAGATGACACCAAGAGTTATCTAACCATGAAGCCAGATAACATAAATGTATCACCCTATTAGAGCACTTGGCTCTCGCTCTGCAGGCCTACTTGTTGTTCCTAGAGTATTTAAAAGTAGAATGGGAGGCAGAGCCTTCAGTTTTCAGGCCCCTCTTCTGTGGAACCAGCTTCCAGTTTGGATTCAGGAGACAGACACTATCTCTACTTTCAAGATTAGGCTTCAAACTTTCCTTTTTGCTAAAGCATATAGTTAGGGCTGGACCAGGTGACCCTGAATCCTCCCTTAGTGATGCTGCAATAGACGTAGGCTGCCGGGGATTCCCATGATGCACTGGGTGTTTCTTCTTCACTCACTATGTGTTAACAGACCTCTCTGCATTGAATCATATCTGTTATAACTCTGTCTCTCTTCCACAGCATGTCTTTATCCTGTCTTCCTTCTCTCACCCCAACCAATCACAGCAGATGGCCCCGCCCCTCCCTGAGCCTGGTTCTGTCAGAGGTTTCTTCCTGTTAAAAGGGAGTTTTTCCTTCCCACTGTCGCCAAAGTGCTGCTCATAAGGGGTCATATGATTGCTGGGTTTTTCTCTGTATGTATTATTGCAGGGTCTACCCTATGTTTGGAAGGCTGGATGGATGTGTCATGGCCCCGCCCCCTGTGAGTGCGTCATGTTTTGGCGCCGAGTTCGGCCTTTGTGCAGTTGTGTGTTTACGTGTTCGTGTTCCTCTGGCGACCTGACAGCTGGATGTGGGGTCTGTCTCTGACATACTGCAGGTTCACATCTGTTTTTGGACCTGGAAGCTGAAAGCTGTTGCTTGGTAACCACATCACCTCATCTCACGGCTTATAAATCAGAGATTAGGAAGACTGACAGATCTCATTAGGACACTGCACTCCTCAAGCAGGCAAACAGGTTCATCACACAGGAGACATGAAAGCTCACCACCAGCTGCCCGCAGTAGGCGAGGGTCCGGCGTGGTGGCCCTGCAGGTGTCTGCGCTCATAAACATTTCAAATAAAGAGTGCGTGCAGACCGGGTTCAGTGACAGCTGTCCTGGAAACAGAGGGGGAGGGTCAGCTCGGGGAAGGAGGAGACCAGCCTCCTCCGAACAGGAGTCACATTTCACACCACAGGAAGTCTGCTTCACTGTTTATTCGCAGGGAAACGTGATAACGTCTGCCAGAGAGCGTTCAACGATCCACAATCTGCCTTTTCCAGTCAGGACACGATCGCAGCATCCACAAATCAAATCTCCATCCTTTCAGTCGGGTGGGTGACGGCCCTTTTTAGGAACAGCTGGCAGTCTGGGCAGGACCATTTCCTCAGCTCGCCCTCTCTTCAGTAGACTCTCTCTGATTGGCTGTTGTAATAAATTGAGGGTGTGAACAGTTTCAAATGTTTCTGCAGATCTGTCACATGACCAACACTTTGTGCTCAACACCGTAAATCACCTTTGATGCTTTTACGAGAACACCATTAAGGCACGAGTGCATAAACGGAGGCTCATTGGCTGAAGCGGTCTCGTCTGCGTGAGCGCAGACACGGTGACGCTAACGAGGCCTCGCCGTGATGGATGTGGACAGGACGGAGCAGAGGAGAGGCAGGCGGGTGGAGGACAGGCTGAAAGCAGGACTCTGGTTTCACATGATTCGATTTCCAAGATATTTTTAGGAGATGTCCAGGGCTGGCTGACAGCGAGGCGAGGAGGTCAGAGCGTTTCAGTAACAGGAGAAAAATCAGAGGGAGGAGCGCTCACAAAGCCTCTTGAATATCAGCGTCTCCCCCGGAGCAGCACTGGCTGCTGATCCTGAGGAAAGACTGCTGTCTGCACACCTTTACCTGCACCGCAACACCTGGCGGAGCAGCACCAGCCTACGTCTGCTTGGGTCTCACCTGTCGGACGAGTGTTTCTAACTGCAACCACCCGGCTGCTGTTTGGCACTTTAGACATGTCACAAAGGTCAAAGGTCACTCTCTCGTCCTCCATCTCAGTAGGGACGCTGACGTTCATCGAAACATTTTGATGTGGACGGGAGACTGCAAGCCGTTCACGTCTCCGTCATCACATGACTCGCGGTCGTATACGAAGCTCTCAGCTTCAGTCACGACCAGCGTCTCTGACATCACAGCCCTGAAGCCTTTCACGCCTTCCACCTGACCCGCAGAGACCCCTCAGACCTCTGACGGTCACTGGGACGCTGTGATGGTTTTTCCAGAACGTCCCACAGAAGCTGAGCCGATGAGCTCTGTGGAGTCAGCTCGCTCGTTGCCGTGTTCCTGCAGGATGGCGTGCACCTACGCCGGCTGAGCTCGACCACCTTCCAGTGTGCGACGTTGGGATGACCAGCGGCAGTTTCAAGGTTTTATTTGAAACCACAGAAAATCTCAGAAAGTGTCTCAGGAAGACGGCGGCAGTTTGCACGACCACAGCGTCCTGTCTGACGGAGACGTCGGCGGCGTCCACGACCACAGCGTCCTGTTCCTGCTGCTTCCTCACAGCGTGTCTGACACACAGTGGGCTGCTGAGCGACCAAGTCTTAAAACACTAAAAAATGCAATGCAACACAGTAACACGTCAACACAACAACACTGCGGCGCTGCGTGTCGGTTACCTGCCGCAGAAACAGCACGTGCTGCTTCACCCATCCCTCTTTACCCGCCAAACTGGGACTGGGCGATATATCGAGTTTTTAAATATATTGATATATTTTTATACGAGATACGAGATGTGACAATAACATTTATATCGTTAAAGTTTATGTTGCGTTATAATTATACTTCTGGAGCCGCAAGTTTGCCTCTTTCGTCCACTTTTGTCTCTACGCTGCGTTGCTCCGCCTCTCCTTCACTGAACTAGTGATGCGCAAATCATGAACGAATCGTTCAATACTCGAGAATCACTTTACTGACTCATGAATCATGATTCACAAGCCCAACTGACTCACTGACTCATCCCTGTTGCTGTTAGCAGCAATGTATCTAGCTTATAATTAAAATTGTGGAGAAAAACACAACATCCAGTATCTTAACAAAAGAATTTCTGCTCTGAACTGGAAGAAAAAACCCTGAGTAGAAGCTCACATCAAGAAAATAGCTCCTCGGTTCACAGTAGCATCGCTCTGCTAACATGCTAACAGCACATTTGAGCTACTCACCCCCTCCCTCAGCTTCTTCTTCTTCTTGGTTGGCAAACAATGTTAAGGCGCATTACCGCCCCCTGGCGCACAGCTCAGTGGACATTTAGATGAGAAAATATATATTTGACACATTTAAGGAAAATACTAATAAAATAAAAGTAAACAAAATAAATGTTTATTAAGCAATTTTGATAGGAAATTGCTTAATTTTAGAAATGTTTTTGCTCTTTTTTGCTCTATAAAATAGTTGTTTTTTTTTAGAATCACTCATCTTAGCAGTAGGATTTACATGAAAAGAGAAACAAATTAAGTTTGAGTGAAAATGTACATTTTTTGCACTCTCTGGTCGACTGACTCAGTGAATCAAATGACTGAAAAAACCCGATTCACTTTGGTGAGTGACTCATTAAAACTCGATTCAGTAAAAAGAATCAAATTTACCATCACTAGCCGAGGAGCCTCGCGGAGTGATACGTACTGTGTTTCAGCGTAATGTTACGTACCGTATGTTACTCAAACTCCAGGCTGTCGGTCACGCAGCAGAACTTCAGAACAGAGCAGCTGTGAAATCTTTGTGATTATGCTCAGCGTCTGTTAGTTCATATTTTGACTGCTCAGTTGTGAGCTCTTTGTTATGCACAAAAACAACATTGTTTTCTTTTATTTATGGAGCATTATTATTTAATGAATGCTCATAACTTATTTCTGAGTAATTTGTTCTTGTACATCTGCGCTGTTTGTTAATAAAAGTGCCTGTGTGAGATCTGGGACACAGCTGTGACTGAGAACTCTGTTTGTTCTTACTTTATGGCTTTAAAAATATGCAGATCTATATCTTATATCACCATCCAGCTAAAGAATATCAAGATGTGAATTTTGAGGTCATATCGCCCAGTCCTACACCAAACCATCATCATTTCAATCCCCCCAACCGAGCTTTACTCACCCAACCCCACCCGTCACTCACAGAGCACCACGACCCCCCCCCCCCCCCACACACACACACACACACACACACACACACCTGCAGAACAGCTCTGCTGCACAGTCGCACCAAACAGCCTCCGTCACAAAGGTGGAAATGGTAAGCGTCAGCTTTAAAGGAGACGAACGGCGAGCACTGACCGGGGAAGGTTCGGTTCCACATCCTCGGGGTCACGTCCTTCCCGTTCGGACGCTCGTTGGACGCCAACATGGACTCGTTCAAAGCGTGAGCGTAGAGCATCAGGCCGTCATAAAAGCCTCCAGCAATGATGTTCATCTGCAAGAAACACACAGAGGGTCAGTCGTTCACACACACACACACACACACACACACACACACACACACACACACACACACACAC